AGTTCAGAGTTCCACCTACATTTTACACAAAATACTTATCAGCTGATATTCCTAATAGAAGCTGACAAATTTTAGGTTGATTACGTAGTCTAATACCAAAGACTAAGAAATAGACACTAAAATTTAACTAGAAATAGTACCTATTAGAGTATACTTTTGAAATTTCTGAAATCAAATGTATTTAAAAGGTTTTCTCTAGTTCCTTTGATATTCAACCTTGATCAATTTTCATTTGAAGAGGTAATTATAAAGTCCCCAGAGTTCCCAAAACAACATAATTAGAAACTCAAGCACAAATTAAAACAAAATAATTTCCATCTACCAAAGAAAGAAATGTGAACATCTTGCCTTTTGTCTAAATGCATTGATCATTTTAATTACAAATTATGGGAAAAGTTAAAGGAATCACAGCATTCAGTTTACAGCATATATATGTGTGCATGTGAGTGTATTTTTATGCCTTAAAACAATGTAGGCAATAAGCAACAATATTACAATAAAATGTGACTTTAAAATTTGAGTATACATTGGTAATGCATTGTTTTTCATTTTATGTACACTTAAAAATTGTTTCCTGTGTATAGGATGAAGGTTTATTGCAGAGAAAGAGCTATAATAGTTCTATCATGAGAGTCAGATCTAAATTAATTGACAAGAGAATTGCCAAGTGCAGGTCATAAGTCTTTGCAGACTTAAAAATCTGTGTTGGGAAATTTGACCTTTGTCCTAGTTCTGGGCTAACTGGTAGGAGTTGGGATAGGGAGGGTCATGCAAACTTAATGGACATATACAGCTCTCAGAAGCTTTACCTGAGAGCTAGTCCAGGAACTTTAATCTGAACATTAAATCTCTATTGGTGCTGGGGATATAGTTCAATATTTATAAAGGTTAGTGCAAGTAATTTTTTAGTATTCCTCTGGCTGTAACAGTGGGCCTTGAGTAAGAATAAAGGGGGCCTGAGAATAAGGGCCTGAGTATAGGGCACTGTGAGCAGTAGGAAGATCCTTGGCCATCATGACAGACCAGGAGTCAAAGAGAGACACGGCAAATACGGGCCATACTGGTGAACCTTCAACTTGTATTACCTTTTATTCCTATTCCTTTCCTGCACTATAAAATTTTCATTTCCATTAGGATTTCAAGAAGGTGTATTAGGTTTACTTTGCTATGTGTGGAGAAAAGTAAACCAGTGACACCTGTAGTGGCAAGGGAAAGTAGATGTGAAACTGTAACAGATGACCAAAAAAAAAAAAAAAAATGCCTGGGGCAGCACTTCCTAAGAGGTCATAGCAGTCCATCTAAGTTGACAAGAATTCTTTGGGGCTGTTTAGCAACAGTAAATAAGATACACTGAAGGAAGAAGGAAGCAGGAAAGGAGGGAAGCATGGATTTCCTACAAAAAAAGTAGAAAGAAGACTTTGTGTGAGGACCGACCTGTGTTATCAAGGTATTAAAAGAAGTGATAATCTGAAGTTTGAGGTTTTGTAATATAACCTATAATTATACATGTATTGTAACATTGACTTTTTGCAGCAGTCAAAAAATGCCTTTTAAAAAGTCACATTTAATAGCTAACTTTTAACTCAATTAACTTTTTATTTAAATTGGGTTAAATATTGTGCAGGTTCATTGAAATTAACAGTGAAGAGTGATCTGTAATATCACAGCACAAGGAGGTGTGCATGAGTGGGAAAGGAAGAGAGATGTTGTGCCTGGGGAGAAAAAAATCAGAGTAACAAAATCAACTTTGCATATTTCTCAAACAATGCATATGCTAAATCTCTTCAGGCAGGTACAACTCTGTGCGTAGCCAACCAGGCTCCTCTGCCCACGGGATTCTCCAGGCAAGAATACTGGAGTGGGTTGCCATACCCTCCTCCACCGGATCATCCTGACCCAGGCATCGAACTCACTTCTCTTATGTCTCCTGTACTGATGGTTAGGCCAGTTCTTTACTGATAGTGGCACCTGGGAAAGTGAAAGTGAAAGTCGCTCAGTCATGCCCGACTCATTGCGACCCCATAGACTATATGGTCCGTGGAATTCTCCAGGCTAGAATACTGGAGTGAGTAGCCTTTCCTTTCTCCAGGGGATCTTCTCAACTCAGGGACTCAACCAAGGTCTCCCGCATTGCAGGCAGATTCTTTCCTAGCTGAGCCACCTGGAAAGCCCTTCTCAAACAATACTCAATCCTTAATCCTGCTGTGTTAGGTCCATACCACTTCTGTCCTTTATTGTGCCCATCTTTGCATGAAATGTTCCCTTGGTATCTCTAATTTTCTTGAAGAGATCTCTAATCTTTCCCATTCTATTGTTTTCCTCTATTTCTTTTCACTGATCAGTGAGGAAGGCTTTCTTATCTCTCCTTGCTATACTTTGGAACTCTGCATTCAGATGGGAATATCTTTCCTTTTCTCCTTTGTCTTTAGCTTCTCTTCTTTTCTCAGCTATTTGTAAGGCCTCCTCAGACAGTCATTTTGCCTTTTTGCATTTCTTTTTCTTGAGGATGGTCTTGATTCCTGTCTCCTGTACAGTGTCATGAACCTCCATCCACAGTTCTTCAGGCACTCTATCTATCAGATCTAATCCCTTAAATCTATTTCTCACTTCCATAATATTATCATATGGGATTTAAATTAGGTCATACCTGTATGGTCTAGTGATTTTCCTTACTTTCGTCAATTTAAGTCTGAATTTAACCATCAGGAGCTCATGATCTGAGCCACAGTTAGCTCCCAGTCTTGTTTTTGCTGACTGTTTAGAGCTTCTCCATCTTTGGCTGCAAAGAATATAATCAATCTGATTTCGGTATTGATCA